TTGTCCTGCAGAGTGGACCTGTAATGTGGATGCTTGCCACATTAGTTAGCTGCCTCAACTACTAGAGAGTTGGGCGGTGGGTGGAAGAGGAAATCCATTCCTTTGGTGGGCACATATTTCCTGTCTGCCCTCTTGCATGTTGGTGGGATGGTAGCTGGTGTTTGCCATACCTTCTCTGCTGGTTCCAGGCTGGCGTCATTTATGGCCAAGGCTATCTTAGTGGTGGACGAGGTTTGTAAAATCTGTAAAAGTTTGTATTGTGTGTCCTGGACCTCATCCAGGGGGCTATCCTGGCTCAACGCAATTCTTTTGAACAGTTCTTGAAACTGTTTGAAATCATATGCTATGGTAGTAGGTGGTGGCATAATGGCTTCATCTGGCGATGAAAAGTAATTGTGAGCTGGTGATGTGGGCTCTTATTCAGTGTCCTCCTCCCCCTCCTCTCCTGTATCCTCCTGGGCTACTGAGGTTTGTGGACTGGGGGATGGTGGAGGTGATCTGAGTTCGCCTCTAGGTGGAGATAAGGGTCTGATATAATGAGCCCTGTATGCCGCCTATGGGGCCCAGGGTGGCCACTGCATGGGGACTGGCATAGGGGGACACATCCAGGGTTGTCCATACCATGGATGGACTGTCTGCCTACGCTGGGTTTTAGACTGTAAAGGGTCCCCCTGGTAGTCTGCGTTCTGTAAGGGAGGAATGCTGCGATTAAAAGGCATCCTCCTCCTCTTCATCATTCTCTTCATCGCTAAGCATTGATGGTGCAATAAGGGATGTAGGCTGGTCTGTGTCAATGCATTCTGGAGAGCCATCAGTACCGAAGAGACTGAAATGTCTGTTTGAGAAATTGTTGTGGTGCCATTGCTTGCAGTACTGGTGGTACCGATGATATAGTCTTAGATGGAGCCGTACAGTGAGCCAGTGTCTTGCGGCTTGATTTAGCCGATGCGGACGGCACCATCTTGACTCTGTCCATCAGTGCTGACAAAGTAGACGGTGCCAGTGGTGGCCGCATGACCGTCAGTGAGGGTCTCCGTGCAGTTTCTTGCACCATTGTGGTCGGTGCCGTGGAGGAGGCATGTCTATGTTTATGCCTTGACTCCGTGTCTCTCGCTTTAGGCTCAGCAGAGGTCTCGGTACAGACGATGCTGGAGGTGCCCTGTGCCTCAAAGGTGCTCACCCGTGTGGTGGTCAGCACCAAGGACAGCGACCTGGCACAGCACAAAGACAGTCTCTTTTTTTGTGGTTCTCTCTGTGGAAAGGTCGAGACTCTTTTCTTTAAAACTGTCGAGGATTGAGCCTTGTCTTTAGTCGATTCCAAAGCGGACGGGGAGGTCTGTTGTCCCAGTTCGGTTGGAGCGATTTCTCCTTAAGAAGCAGTTTGAGGTTGAAATCATGTTCACGCCTGGTTCTCGCTTTGAGACTACTACAGTGAGCGAACTTTTGAGGGATGTGCCACTCACCGAGGCATCGGAAACACAAGGAGTGTCCATTGGAGACCGGCATCGCTTCGCGGCAGGGGCCACATCTCTTAAAGCCTGAGGAACCAGGCATCGTTGAGGCAGTTGAGTGTTCCCAGGGGAACAACGATGAAGTAAGAAAAAAAAATTTTTAAACTAACCAACCTCTTATGAAGTATACAACTAACTTATCTAAACTATTTCTTGTAGAAGATGACACTGAAACACTTCCCCAGAGCTCTCTCAGGCTGAGAATGGTTAAGAAGCAACTGAGGGGGTCAGGTCGTACCCTAGTCAAGGTGCCAACAGCGCCACGAGACGACTACGCACGCACGCACGGCCCTGACAGACACTGCTGCCAAAAATCTCCGATTGACGGTGCTGGGCCTCACTGACACCTGAAGTGGAGCACCCATAGGGAAATCAAGGGAGGAAATGCAAATGTTCTTCGAGTGAAGTGATTTTAACAGCACAACCTTAATGCTGCACTACCAGTCTCTTGCACTCAATAAATATAGGCTAACAGTCTGCTTGTAGCGGCCATCACCAAGAGGTAAGGTTTAAGTGCCTGAAGGCATGGAAGACACTGATTGGCAGAAGGAGTGAAAACAAAGCCATGTCATAGTCATGGCCTGTAAGTTGCCATCTTCTTTTGTCCTTGCCAGCTGGAAAATTTGGGGCAAGCAGAGGAGAATTGGTTATGCTAAAAGGATCAAAGAAAGGCAGACAATATTTAGAACTGCCTGGAGTGTTCAGTATCTAAGCGCAGTGAAATAGGCTGAGGGCACACTGAAATAATGAGATACAAGAGGTACCATGAATGGAAAAAAACAAAGGGCTGGGATAGATCATTACGCAAGGAGAGGGAGTGGAGGTAGCTGCTGAGAGCCGAGATCAAGAGTCGCATCTGAAAAGTGTGATGTCATTGATTGTAAAGGCTCCATAATGCTCTTCTCAGAGCCTCAAGGGTGTTCCCCCCCCTCACCTACGTAAAGACCTTCTCTCCTTCCCACCGATGGGAACCTGATAACACTCCCTTTGGAGCCAATCAGCCCAAACTGAGTCACTGAAGAGTGGTGCAAAGATGCCTCCTACCCCTGCTGATCTGAGACTCAATTTCACACACTGGCCCTAAATAAGCCTAATTCTCCCTGCTTGGTAACATAAAAAACCCTCAAAGGCAGGCTGGCCATGGGCTTCAAGAGCTCTGAGAACAACTTAGCAACTTTTATAAAGCATATCTGCTACCAGTTTGTTTGGTGGAAGATTGAGTTACAAAAATAGTAAGTCTCCTCCTGTCCTTTCTGTAGCTTAGCCACCTCCTACTCTCATCCTCCTCTCCTTCCTTAGGCAGCACAGAGGGATCAGATCCTGCCGGCTCTGGAGTTGAGGGACTGTGTAACTGAAGTACAGGAATGAGACAAGAAAGAACACGTTCAGTGGGACAGACTGATTAACAGAGGGAGGAAGTCTGGGGACTGTACTATGTATTAGACAGCTGCCTTCACCTCAGGGACACGTCTCCTGTTCCCCCTTAAGCCACTATGTTCTTATTCTCTTTCTTTGATGGCTCTTGCCCAGCTGGGTCCCTCTGCGTGCTAGCAGGGAAGGAAGACTTACCAGAAGCCAGCTCTTTGAAGCAATGTGCAAGAACAGGATTTCAGTACATTTCACTTGACTGCCCTGGAACACACATGGAGCAGAGCAGAGCAGAGCAGCAAGAGAGAGACCGCATGGGAAAAGCAAAACAGACAGGCATAGCAATGGAAGGACAGGAGAGAGAGCTTTAAAAATATGTACATAGCAAAGTATTACTGTACTTATGAAAGTACAATAGCCATACTCGCATACTACTGACATTTGGCACCCTGGAAAATAGCAACCTTTGAGCTGGTGTGATGTCTTGGTACCTGCCGAGTTAACCCAAAGGGCAGAAGCAGGAGCACCAGCAAATCCACAGGGGATGAGAGAGGGGCATTCCATTTCTTTCTCCATACTGGGAGCTCTGGTGGGAGAAGGTCCCCTGCCTCTAAGGAGAGGGGATGTGGGAGGAAGGCAACATAATATACAGCAGGAAAAACAATTCTCTATTCAATGCCTCTAGAACAGATGCAGCTGGAGGGGTGGAGTCAAGCTTGATTCTGTCCAACAATCTTCCCCTTAATTATACTTCCGTTCCATAGGCAAAATAGATCTACACTGGCTGCTGATTAGCACAGAATGAGTCAGAGGGGTGTGTGCAGGAGAGGAGAGAACTCGCTAGTCTCTGCTTTGTGGGTTTAACAAAGGACAGACCCACCAGCCTGAGGGAGCTTGGAGCTGCAAGCTCCTCACAGCTGTTGGTACTTGGCTGATATGATCATTCGGCTTCCAAACCTCAATCCTCCACCATCTGGGTACGACAAAGTCATCATTAGAATTATTGGACCCCAGCAGCCTGATGGTCCATAGGGTAGTAAAGCTAGGTGTGTTCAAAGAGTAGGTTTGTGAAGCACAGACGTGGCTAGCACTCAGTGGAAGAGCCCGATGTCTGGAAGTCTTGGACATTTAATCACTGCAATCTCTTAAAAGTTTCTGATCATTTGCAGATATCTTTGGAGAATGTGGACGAGAAGTCATTTACTTCTAACCACCTTCATGCGGCTTGTTTAAACACTTACTTGAGGTGATGGCATTTCAAAGAAAAATTGAAATGGTGAAAGGTTTGGTAATTGCTCCAGATGGGATGTATCTGTGGAAATTATTCACACCCCTTCACGCCACAGTCTCCCACCTCTTGGGACTACCAAACAACAGGATGGATAGCAAGGCCACCAGGTGTATGCTGCAGGGTGGAGACCACTTGATGGCATTCACAGGTCCCAATAAAATTCACAGCAAAAGAAGCAAAGCCAGGAGGAAAGGAATTGCCCAACTGGATCAGAACAACTGTCATTTAGCCCAGTATTTGGTTTTCAATGGCAACCAGTACCAGATCCGTCAAAGGAAGGTGTGCAATCCTCTTACTAGCAGTTATAGAGTAATCTCTCACAGGGGAAGTTTCTTCCTGAACACAGGAAGGGAGGTTGGGTTAATGCGTTTATAGGTTCTGATCAATTGTTATCTGATCTAAGGAAACAGAGGATGCCCTTATTCACACAAGTGTTTAATCCTATTTTGAATGCTACTAAGCCCTTGGCCTCAATACTTTATATTTGTCTCCACAGGTTAACAAAACACAATTTTTATTCGGTTTAAATCTGTTGTCTTTTCAATTTCATTTGTACCTCATTGTTCTTGTATTAGGCAAAAGGGTAGATGGGAGACACAGCGAAGCAGTCTGTTCTCTGCTAAACTGCAGATCACCAGATCTGGACTTGGCTGAGGAGCACAGGAAATCGTTTGCAATTCCCCTAACTGAGTTCCACAACAAAGTAGTCTCATAACCCCCCTGATTAGGAGGTGGCACAATGGAAAACAGCCCAACTTCTTTCAAAGCCCTCAAGTGGATGCTGCCCTCTTCCTGGGAAAAAATGGAGCTGTAATAGAAAACACTCTTACCGTGTATGACGACTTGCTGGTGATCTCCAAGAGCTTCTGCTTTGCTCTCCGCTCAGACTCTCGAGCCTCCTGAAGGTCCTGCTTTAGCTGATCAGCTTCCTTTGCCCTATGTACAGTAACAAACATCAGATAAGAGATGGACAGGGAAGGAATGGAGTGGGATGAAAGTCAGAGAAGGAGAAATGGAGCAGCACCAAAGTGTGGGTGTAGGGGGTTGGGATTTATCGGGCAATGAGATCTATTAAGCTGCAGAATAATTTCCAAAAGGGAAATGATGGAAACCCAATCACTTGAGACCTTCCAACTAGACTAGACAAATACTGAAGAAAACAAACCTGCACTGACCGCCAAGGATGGAGAAGACCGGCTAGATAAGTGGTTCTCAAACTAGGGCCGCCGCTTGTTCAGGGAAAGCCCCTGGTGGGCCGGGCCACTTTGTTTACCTGCCGTGTCCGCAGGTTTGGCCGATCGCAGCTCCCACTGGCCGCGGTTCACCGCTCCAAGCCAATGGGAGCTGCAGGAAGAGGCGCGGGCCGAGGGACGTACTGGCTGCCACCTCCCGCTGCCCCCATTGGCCTGGAGCGGTGAACCGCGGCCACTGGGAGAAGCGATCGGCCAAACCTGCGGACCCGCCAGGGTGCTTACCCTGAACAAGCGGTGGCCCTAGTTTGAGAACCACTGGCCTAGATGACCTACCAGGTCTTCTCCTTCTAGATAGGCTCTGATACTGCATGTGGGGCTGCTACCCACTCAATTTAGGGCACTCTAAATTTAAGGGTTTTTTCCCCCCCCCAATTTTAGTGGTGAACATTGAGTTTCACCCAAGGCTGGTTTAATATGGGATGGGAGAGGGGCTGATCAGGTCTCAGGCCTGCGGGGCAGTGGAGAACCCAAACAAAGAAGCGGCAGGAAATCCAAGTCACAAAAGGGCGTGCTCTAAAATAAGGATGTTGTGTTAGCATTTGCAAAAAGACTGACACCTGGAGAATCAGGTCACGCTGCTAGAGTGAGGAGGACAACTTGGGAACTCAGTGAGTGATCAAAATCAAAGCAGAGGTAGGAAGCTTTGGCTTGGGGAGTAGAAGCTTTGGTCTTCTGAATATTAATCATCTACTGAGGATTGTTTGTCTAAAAGGAACAGAAGAAAATGCCCAACAAGTCCTATATGGACTTTAACATGCCAATCTCAGGGCCCAAGGGTTCTAATACACTTCTACCCCAATATAACGCGGTCCTCGGGAGCAAAAAATCCCTACCGCGTTATAGGTGAAACCTGTTACATCGGGGTAGCGACGGCAGGGCTCCAGCAGAGATTTATAGGGCCCAGGGCTCCCTGCAGCAGCCGGAGCCCTGGGCCCTTTAAAGCACCGCCTGAGCACTGCTGCCGGAGCCCCGGGGTTACCGCGCTATATGCGTATTATATCGGGTCGCGTTATATCGGGGTAGAGGTGTACTACCATTTATCCCTGATGTATGGCAGCTCCTGAGGACACACCCTGGGTAGAAAGCAAAAGGAGAGATGAGAGAGAGAGGGAAGCCTTCTTTGCTGAATCAGAATTTACAGGAAGCTCAAGATAGAGAAGGGATGACTGGGGATAAAGTTATTGAACAAGCGAGAGGGCTGAAGCCCAATGCACTCAAAATTGATAACAGGGAGGAAGTTAGTGTTATTTTTAATTCACCAACTAATTAATGCAACATGTGACAAGAGCCGGAGCAAGGGGGAGAATGATGAATTGAGTTTAATATCTAGAAGCAAAACTCAAGTGTTATTAATTAATGGAGCCAAATACTTTAGAGAATATGGCAGGTGTTTCTGTGGCTGATCCTACAGCTCCTAGTTAGTGCTCCAAGATGAGCCAGGGAAGAAGAGTCCTATGGACAGTTTGAAAGGAAGAATATATTCCAGCCACCCACCAAAGCCAGTAGCTGAAATTCCCTCTCCTGGTCACTCTCTCCTCATTGTATCTCTCCTATAAGAATTCTCCAGCATCAGGCTCAAATACACAAAAATTAGGGAGGCCCGATATGTTTATTAGCATCAGTTTACCATTCAGCAGCAGCCTAATTTTGACAAACATAGCTGCCTAAAGAAAGAAACCAGCTGGGTTTTGTGGCCAACTAGCCCTCACACGTGTCTGGGATACCAAGGGCTCACTGCACACAGTTTGGAAGCCCTGTATAAAGGTGTGACCCCAGGATACTGTCTCAGCTAAACTCATTGGCAGATCTGGAAAGTGGAGCATGGAAGCAGGTGTAGGGTTCCTCCCTCTGACCTTCTCTCCGATTCTTCTGCCATCTTCAATGCCAACATCTCTGCCTCCAGGACCTTCTGTTCCATCAACCGTTTCTCTTCCTCTGTCCGGATTGCCGTGGCTTTGATCCGCTGCATCTCCTGCTCCGCCTCAGCTGCTTTCTGAGCCAGCAGCTTGGCTTCCTCTTCTGTGATCTGGGCTTTTTCAGCCAGCAAGTCTGCTGTCTCTTCAGATCTCATCTGGGAACCAACACATACAGCAGTGTCAGCATGCACAAGGGCCCCACCCTGACATGTCCAAGATCCCTATGGTAGGGACCCTAAGTCCCCTGCCCCACCTTTATATTATGACCCACATGTGCTCAAATTCCCCATTTCCACAATCCTTGCAGTGCCTTGGCCACTGCAATAAGCTCCCAACCAAGACTCGGATACTCTCAGGCTCTCTGCCTCTAGTTAATCCTCCACTGAGACTGTGCCATAGCAGGGCCCTTGCACCACACCATTCAACTGACCCATCTGTCTTTTTAATCAGTGTTCATGAACCGGGGCTTACGAACAGTCCCAGAATGCACATTGTATGTCTGCTGACTTCAGCAAAGGAAGTCACGAACGTCTGCAGTGACTGGAGAACAACCATCACAAAGACATACCAGAGCCTCATTGGCCATTGTCGCCTCCTCCTTTAACTGCAACAGCCTCCTCTCCAACTCATCCCTTGTTCGCTCTGCCTCTTCCCTCATCTGCTTCTCTCGAGCCAGCCGCTGTCGTTCCATCTAGGGAGATGAGGGGAGAGGAAGGAAAGGAAATAACAAATATTAGAATAACCAACATTCAGTGTATTCCTGCGACGGGGCACACTCGCCCCACACTGGACAGGGAAGGGTTAACACACATTGTGTTAACCAAGCCCTCTCAACTCTACTGGGCATGCTACAAATGCACTAGTATAAAAGGGAGAAGCTCAGGTCAGTTGCTGCTGACCGCCAGGGAGGAAGGATGCCATCGGCTCCAGCCAAGGATCAGATGAAGCCTGAGGCCATGGGAGCCGGAGACGCCGCAACCCAGGCAGATGCCAAGCTACCCACGGAGGCCCTGCAGAGTCTGGAGTCGCCGGGGACAGTGCAGACCAGAGAACCCGGAGACAGCTGAGATACCCAGACTGCAGCAGCGGGAACTCATAGACTCATAGACTTTAAGGTCAGAAGGGACCAATATGGTCATCTAGTCTGACCCCCTGCATGATGCAGGCCACAAAAGCTGACCCCCCCACTTTCCCTTAACTCTGCTGTTGAAGTCTCCAGATTGTGATCTAAAGACTTCAAGTCGCAGAGAATCTTCCAGCTTGCGACCCCTGCCCTATGCTGCGGAGGAAGGCGAAAAACCTCCAGGGCCACTGCCAATCTACCCTGGAGGAAAATTCCTTCCCGACCCCAAATATGGCGATCAGCAGAACCCCGAGCATACAGGCAAGATTCTCTAGCCAGACCCTCATTTTACCAGCGATGGCTGTTATTGCCTAATTGATTCGAATCGCGTAATCCCATCAAACCATTCCCTCCATAAACTTATCTAGCCTAATCTTGAAGCCAGAGAGGTCTTTCGCCCCCACCGTTTCCCTCGGAAGGCTGTTCCAAAATTTCACCCCTCTATAGTAGGAACTATAGTAGGAAGCAGCCCAGGGCAACTAGATAGTGGCCCAGTTAGTGAACCTGAATTTTGAGTCAGCGTGTTTCAGTCAGAACCATCCCGCTGACTCAGTGGCACACGTTCCGGGCACTCCCAGGACCCTGGACTGGGGTCCAGTGGAGAGGGAGGGCCCAGACCCCTTTTTGTGTGTGGCAGCCCCCTGCCTGACAGATCGCTGGGCCTCACTACCCTGCTACCAGGGATGAATTTACTGACTTTGGCCATTAGACCTTACTGCCCTACTAAGAGGGGCGAACCTATGGACTTTAGCCACTAGGCCTTACTGCCCCTCTGACTGAGGCAAATTATTGACACTGGCCATTGGGCCGCACTGCCCAGCTATTAGAGGCAAGTACATTGACTTTTGCCTTTAGGCCTCATTGCCCTGCTAAGAAGGGCAAGTATATTGACTCAGGCTAAGGAAGCATAGACATAGGTTAAGTACGTCCCACCCCTACGCCCTAAGAGACACAGGACGCACTCGCCCCGCACTGGATGGAGTCTCCCCCAACCCTGTTACAATTCCCTAGGTATGGTGCATTTCATGGACAGGATTGGAATGTTGTCTGGTGGTTGGAGAGCACTCAGATAAGTAAGATCTCCTCCTTCTGCTTCAATTTACCCATTTGTCAACTAGGGATATTTCACTATCAAAAGGGGACAGGCCTATTAATGTGTGTGAAGCACTTTGTGATCCCAGGATGACAAGCACTGTAAGCCACAAGTTCAAATAACATGGACCTTTGTTATTTTCCATCAGATACAACAGTAAATTAAGCCTAATGCACTGGAAATTCTTCCCCATTCCATTCATTTAATGGGTAGGCCAGAAAGCGTATGATTACCAACAATAAGATTCCTATACAAGTCAAGCTGCCTCCTCTCACAGTGTCAGAGGACTGCTCCATGTGAGAAACAGCCAGTCAGGCCCCCTCTGATACAACCTAATCTAGCGGAATCCCTTCCACCTGCTCCCAGGAGAACGTGCAGCACATATACTGCCTCTGAAAGCACCCCACATTCAGTATTTTAGGCAGCAGCTGCACACTGTACAACTTGCGACCTTTGCTAACCAAGCGATGGAAGGGAACTGCAAAACCAGTTAATTCACCACCTCTCAGCACCCAGATCTCACAGTGATGGGCCCATTATAAATACCAAGGCTACATGTATAGATCACTGCATTACTCAGGCCATGCTGAGTTTAATGAGCCGAACAAGGAGGCAAGCCATCTCCCTGTGATCCTCAGGCACTGGCTATGTTCTGAAAGCAGGATACCCATTGCTTTAACGGTGGTGCTTCTCTCTACTAAAGGTACCCTTCATCAATCACCACTTGTTATCCCATTCAGGTCTCGTGATGTGAGAAGGCTGCTCAGAGCCAGTTCACACAGTAACCCTAGAGTGTAGGCAGCGAGATACAATAAGGGGGTTAATCCAAGGGAGGGCGGCAAAATCTCCACATTTCTTATACAACCTAGTGGTGAGGGCACTGGACTGTGCCTGAGGTGACCTGAGTTTAATTAACAGCTCTGCCACTGGCCTGCTGGGTGGCCTTGGGCAAGTCACTTTCCCTCTGTAAATCAAGATCATGAGCCTGACCTCCTCTGCAAAGCACTGAGATCTCTGGATTAAAAGCACTAGATATGAGCCAGGTATTATTCCTCCTCCTCTGGGCCCACTTGCAAAAGCTCTAACCATTTCATCTCAAATTCAGTGATAAATGTGTACCCACCCCCCACCTCCAGAACCAGGTGGTCACTTCCCTGGTAACTCTTCCCAAGCCCCTGGACCCCTACCAGGCAGTCACCCAGGCTTTTGAGTTCATCCTGGCTTCATTCAGACAGGTCCTCCATATCCCTCAAAGAGCCCATCAAATTCCAAACACCGCCCTCTTCCCAGCTAACTCCTGAAGATTCCAGGTCACTCATCATCCTCAACCTCCAGAAGGATTGCCTGGGGCTCCTTTCAGTCTGCCAACACCATTCCTATACTGGCCAGAGGCACCGAGGTTAGATGCAAGCATTCTCTCCTCCCAACCAAAGACAAGGGTGCTGCCCTTGCCATGCTCTGAGCCTCTCTTGAACATAGGAAGCTGAAGAAAGGAGAACTGGACACAGGTCTCCTGCATGGCACTCCAGAGCATAGCAGGAGGTTGGGCAAGGTCCTCAGTTCTAACCCCCAATCCTGTGCAATAAATCCCAGTAGACATGTCCGAATCCAAGAGCAGTACATCTGCATTTAAAGTCTCTTGGTACAGCTGGCTGATACTGCTGCTATCTAGTGGCTTATCCAGAAACGAACATTTATATTCTAAGCAGCAGCACTCCGATTAGCTGTGCGGGTTTCAGTGAGTAGAAAAGGTCTATGAACAGAAAACAATGATTCATACAATCCAATTTGCTGATATATGCTCATTGGCTACAAGCTGCTGCCTGTGATGTGTCTGTCGTTCCTTCCGCCTGACCTGTGGCGGATAGAGGCCAGGACCAAATCAGCATGCAGGCTGCATGCCCCGAAATGTCGGCATGCATTCCATCACCATCTAATTAGGAAATGAGAGCACAGAGCAAAGGCAAAGCACAACTTCTGCCTTAATTACAATCAACTTCCTCAAGACAGTACAACTTTCCTGCAACAGACTAGGTAGGGGTGGATGCAAACATATGTACCTTGCGCACAGGCTATCCTTTTCCCCACCCACTTATACCTCCGAGCCTGTAGTCTGGTGACTTGTCAGCCATTCTGCCATCAGCCCACATACCGAAGCGTAAGAACTACAGGTAATAACAGGGCAGGCTACTAGAGGAGCAGTTCAGCAGGGCCTGCCTTGCACACCTAGTGCTGGTGGTTTGTGCTATTCTGTTCCCTCCTGGTATATTTATATTTCTGATTTTGGCTCACAGCTGGGTTGTATTACAAGGTGTCTCTCACCTGCTTTCTGGCCTTCTCCTCCCTGGCCTGTGCTTTCATCTGCTGGACCTCCAATGAGTCTGCCTTCCTCCTCCTCATGAATAGATCGTGGTTTCCAATACACAGCTGAAGAATCTGTCCCAACCAAAGATAAGGGGGAAGAAAGGAAAGAAATGAACACATACATACTTGGATGACATGATCTGTACTGCCACCACATAGACCAGTTATTAATACTTAGTGCTCATATAGCACCTTCATCCATAGATCTGAAAGCACTTTACAAAGTATCATTATCCCCATTTTACAGATGGGGAAACCAAGGCACAGAAAGGTGGAGTGAGTTACCCTCAGGAATGGAACCCGGGTCTTCTACATCCCACTGCATTTTCTTATGTGCTGGATCACAACGCCCCTCCAGATTCAAGGAGCACTATGGGATGAGGTTTACAGTGCCATAAGAAATATATCTTCAGTCTCTGGAAGGAGCAGGGGGGAATGAAAAGAGAGAAAGGCTACCCGATGCACAGCATTCAACCCCCTTACACCAACCAGCCTGGAACAGGATCACAGCCTTGCTGGAGCCCTTCAGCCATGCCTGCTGCACAGCTTGTGGAGCAATGTAGTTGATTCTAGCCCTTAGGGGCAGAGGAGGAGGATGATCTGAAACTGACAGTGGTGGGAAGAATGGTAGGAAAAAGCTAAGGGATAGGTGAAAACTCTATAACCTCCCTCAGACGCATCTCTAAGGGCCTCAGTACAGTGAAGTCAGTGGAGCTATACCATTGTGAGACTGAGGAGAGTACAATAAGTATAAGGCCCAAGGATTAGGCCCTGCCTTGGTAAGGCAACAGTACCTTTCCTGAGACTAGGTGAAGGGCAGACTATGTTGGCAGAGTCAGGACAGAAATCCCTCTGCCTACCCCCAAAAGAACCCAAAATATACTCCTCTAGAGAGAGCAGCTGAGTAATGGGTATTACAGATTCTGGGTCAGATTTTCAAGAGCCAGCAGCTCTTATTGTTCTCCTGATGCAGAGTGCTGTTGAAAGTCTGGTTACTAGTCTGGATGCCTCAACAAGCACTGTTGGCTACCGACCAATTTTGAGAATCTGGCTCTAGATTTATTATGTGGTTTTCTGGCTGTAAACTTGAGTCAAATCAGACACGAATGTCTACAGTGAGTGACTTTTTTTTCCACCTTGCATAAATGGCCATAAGTAACATGAATGCAATGGATCCGAGTTAGTCTCTCCTCTTCAGACAACCACTTGTCATGACTCAAGGGATGTGTCCCGATAGAGGCTCAGTACTGAGTAAGCACAGACCAGTTAGTGTTTTCTATTAGACACTGTGATCATCCTGAAATACATCAGCAGAGCAGCAAGGGGAAGCCCAGGAGAAGCAAAAGGACATTCAGGGAATGAAGGAGATGAGAAGAATGTTTTATTTACAGTGCAGGGCAGATGTAACCAAAAGGCTCAAAAAAGGGGATCAATGGAAGAGATGGGGAGGAATTCCATGAAGGAGCTTGACTCTTCCCCCACCCTCTCTCAGAGGCTATAAATTCTTGATTGGATCCGAAACATTGGATCAGACCTGCAGTCCCTCAAGTCAAGTGTGTTACCTCTGACAGTAGCCAAGATGTGTAAATAAGGAAAACCCTGAAAGAACATTGCCTCACATTGCCTATAGAGACTTCCTCAAGAGCCACTGTTGCAGACAATAAAATCACTGTGCCTGTGAACTTACCAGCTTATTCACACGCAGCTTTGATGAATTGAATTTAAAGACATCGATCTTTTTGTCCAGTGGCTTAATTGTAAACTGAAAAGAGAGAAAAAAGAAAAAAAAAGTTATCAAACTCAGAGCCTAGAACAGAACAGGGTAGCAGAAAGAATTTCACAGCATGCTGGCTAAGAGCAGGTTAATGGAGTGCTGGATAAACAAGCCTGAGAGCAGTCCTCATGGCTTCCTGCCAAGCAGGCCAGCTAGGATCAAAAGCAATCAAGAACTGCTGTTCCCCATCAGGAAAGCTCAAGTGCCTCCAGAAGCAATGTCCTTAAGCTGCAAGAGGAGAGAGTGATTCCTGTCTGCTCAGCAAGTGCTCTCTGATGATCAGCTCACAGGTCTTGGATGGGGTTGTTTACCCACCCTTCCAACCAAAGGGGAGGTGCTTCTGTCCAGCAGGATATGGGGAACTAGGAACAGGGAGGATTAAAAACAATTGTGGCCCATCAGAGTAGATCGGGGTGGGCAAACTACAACCCGTGGGCCGGATCCGGCCCCTCAGGGTTTTGGATCCAGCCCGCGGGATTGGCCCCTGTGGCCCCGTGGACCCCACGCCGCTCTCAGAAACAGCCGGCACCACTTCCCTGCGGTCCCTGGGCAGGGGAGCAGAGGGCTCCGTGAGTTGCCCTTCCCTCCAGGCACCGCCCCCCACAGCTCCCATTGGCCGGGAACAGGGAAATGTAGCTAATGGGAGCTTCGGGGGAGGTACCTGGAGGGGCTACAAGGGCAGCACATGCGGAGCCCTCCGTCCCCTCCTCCCCCAGGGGCAGGGCCGGCTTTAGCAAGAGCGGGGCCCGATTCCTGGGGGCGGGGCTTGCTGCAAGCCCCGCCCCCAGGAATCGAGCCACG